GGACATTCTGACACTGGGGAGAACTGATTTGGTGTCACTGACATCCCCAGTTACACCAATACAGTTATCAGTGCTAAAAAAAGCACTGACAGTGTACTAATGGCACTGGGCAGGAAGGGGTTAACATGTGGGGCGATCAAAGGGTTAACTGTGTGCTGGGAGTGCTTCACTGTAATCACACTGCTCTGGATGGCAGTGCTGTGCCATCCACAGCAGTGTGCCCAAGCTGGCAGGGAGGAGAACTGTTAGTAAACAAAACAGTTCTCCTCCCCGTTGGAAATCACCGGGTGCGCTGGCGAGTAATTACCGGCCGGGTGATTGACAGCCGTGGCCGCCTACCCGGAAATGCAAAATCACGTGTATATATACGTGATTTTGCGCACAGCTGCCGCCCTGTAGCAGTATTTCTGCTATACTGTGGTGGTAAAACAGTTAATTTAGTGCACTGGTTACTCTGTTTCTTTCCCCTGCACATAGTGGGGTTTATTTACTAAAGTTGGAGAGTGAAAAATCAGACTCACTTTTGCATAGAAACCAATCAGCTTCCAGGTTTTATTGCCAAAGCCTCACTGAACAAGCTAAAGTTAGAAGCTGATTGGTTTCTATGCCGGAGTGAGCCTGATTTTTCTTCTCCAGCTTTAGTAAAAAAATAAATATATATATATTGCCTGCTGTTGTACTATCAATCCTCTCCATACTGCCTGCTTATATACTGTATTTATTTAGCACTGTTTTGAATCTCCCCAATATTTGCCAGTTCTAAAACTAGCACACTACCATGTTTCCATAGAAGATCTGCAACTAAGCTGTAAGCAAACAGACAAAGCAAATTGTGCTCAAACTTTGGTCACAATGAGATCATTAATGGCATATTTGCATATCACCAGACACTCTGCAACTTTTTTTTTTTCATTTTATGTCTGCACAGTAATTAAAACAAATGTACTGACCTTTGATAAATTGACTGTAGTCTGCAGAGGTGACACAACTGAACATAACGCACATTATCTGGTAAGAAAAGTGTTTATTTTTATGTTTTTCAATGCATAGGAAACCTTGAAATAACTTTTCAGGCTCAAAGAATCCCTGCTAAAAATTACTGTATCTACAACTCGTTGTACATTAGTGATGGTCAGTGGGAAGAATGCTCCTTACACTTGTGGTCATTGGGAAGAATTACCCCCTTGCACGTATTTAAAAAGCTCAATGGTGTCAGTGGGAACTTAACTGAGAAGCAGAGACTGCGCATCACTCAAGGAACCCCTAGCAACCTCTGGAGGAACCCTAGGGTTCCATAGAACCCTGGTTGAAGAACCCTGATTTTAGAGTGAAGGTGATGGAAGATGCAGCCCTAGGGGGCCTCACCCATGACCCGGTTTCATGAATTTGTCTGTTTCCTACTTACATAAGAACTGAAACATCCTTATGGGTGTTGTAGCATAGGAAGACTTTATGATCTCAAATTTGATGTAGAGTTTGAGATGTTTGACAGGTGTAAAATATTTTACATTTGTATAATGTGGAGAAAAAAAAGATTAAGATTCTTACTGATCGTGTTCCTGATGGGGCTATTTTTCTTTCACTTCCTTTTCCGGTGGCAGCATTGTCACCACGAGAATTCCAGAGGAGTACAAGCTGGCAAAATAATGGATAAAGGTTCAACATTTTGCCTGAAAAGTGTTTTGATTGATTTGTGCCTCTTTTAGAGAGCTAACTCTGTCAGTAGGACAGGAAGCGAACAAAAATCTCCCCAGTGGGGCCACAAAGAGCAAAAAGAAAACCCGAAGTGGTTTTAAGTCTAACTCTAACTTAATTGTAACCTTATGCTACCTTCTGCTTAAAATAAAGGGTTTTTTTTCTTAAGTGCAAAGGCTAGCTAGACTAAAAGAAAAACTCTTTTCTGGGGGCTGTGCACCTGGCACTGGATCTAAAGAAATATTATTCAAACTATATTAAAGCCAAATGCTAGATTCCTTCCCCAGTGACCTCCTTCCCCCGTGTATGGTTTGCATCTTTTATATAATTACTTTAACTGTTTTTGCCCAAATTCTTCTTCCTATGGTGGATGGGCCTTGATGATGTGATGACATCGGTGCTGCTTTTTGCATCAATACACTTTGGGTGCAGGGGTCCATGGTGATGCCTTCTCAAGGGATGGGTCTATGATGTCCTGCACCAATAGGATGTCTTTGGTCTTATGGGTTAATTGAAGCTGGGTGTCATTCAACTCAGAAGACTGAAGACAGTGGAGGCCAAGCAAGACCTGAAAAATGCAGTTCAAAAGTGCTGACTAGCAATCTCAGGTGTGGCTCAGGTTGTCCACTGTAGAAAGGAAGAGGAGGGAGATGGGAGAGACCTTATAGTGTAGTAAGTTGCGTATGATGTTTCACTCAAAAAAAAGGTTTCCACAGTGGAAGGAACAGAAAAGAGAAAGAAGTAAAAAACAGCTGTTGAGGCGGTGGTCACTCAAAAGAATTGTAAAACACGCAGCCTGAGTTCATGCAGGAGAGAGGTGGTTACTCTTTTTAAGCCTTGTGTGTTTCAATCATGGGTCCTCTCTGGAATTCTCAATCAGGTGCAAGAAGTCGGTTGTGTGCAAAAGGGTTCCTTGAGATCCTCCTGGACCTGATGAGTTCAAGACTCAGTATATTTGTTTTCACCCTGAACTGAGGAGATAATATTTTATAGTCACAAAACATGTTTTATTTGATAAAATAAAGGATCTAATTGTTCAGTAATACTGACGACTCCTATCTGTGCTCAAACTGAGTGCTCAAATGCATTTACTGTATGGGTTTTTATGTATTTATGCAAGATATTCATATCCCCCCCCCTCAATAACCTTTTTCTCAGGGATTAAACTAAATCCAGTGAATGTTTGCTTTTAATTCAGTACTAGTAAAATTAAAGCCAGCCACATTCCCTATTTAAAGCTCTGGTTGAATGTTTTTTGAATGGTTCAGTGCAAAGCAGATCACCTGAACTCCCCTCTCTAATGGGTTTAACTTTTATGGAGCTTATTTGTAGTGTATCTATATAGAAAATCTATGAATAAGCTCAATATGAGCAAAATGCATCAGATGATGGAGTTAAGATTGTCTGTCTTGCACTGGACCATTCATTAACCACTTGATGACCGTGCTATAGGCAAAAGATGGCTACCGCACGGTTGTCCAGTTCTGGGAGGGCATTACCGAACCATGCCTTCCTGGTGCCCCCCGTACATGCATCGGGTGGGATCTATGACTGCTCTATCTTTTGGACACAGCTGATCACAGATCGGGGTAAAGTGCCAATCATAGCGGCCCTTTACCATATGATCAGCTGAGTCCAATCACATGTAAACAGAGTTGCCGCTATCGCTGTATCTCTGTGAAGAAGGGAAAGCTGCATACCTGGCAAGGTTGTCAGTACACGGTTTGTTTACAGAAGGGGTCTCCAAACTATGGTCCTCTAGCTGTTGAAGTACTACAAGTCTCATCATGCCTCTGACAGCCACAGGCAAGACTCTCAGAGGCAGAGTTTTGCAAGCCCTAATTGGACTTACAGTTCCTCAACGCCTGGAGGGCCATAGTTTGGAGACCCCTGGTTTGCAGTGATAATCAGTGCACTGATCATCAGTGCCCTGATTAGTGGTGCAGCCCTATCAGTGCTGAAGAATCAGAAGACTATAGTTTAGGAAACATGAAACCATCCTTCCTTACTCTTGTTTGTTTGTACTGTTAAAATTAGTTTAGAATATAAAATAGACATTTTTAAGCCTCCAAGAGTGTGACGAAGGACATTTTTACACAGTAAAAATAGTTTGCCTCTTTTAAACTCTTGTCATTTTGCACACACACCTGGAGGTCCAGAACCTGTTAAAGAATGGGAGTTGTGAAATGTTTGGGGTATGGTGGTTCTTATGAAAACTATATTGAACGATTTATACAGAACATCATTGAAGTTGTGGTGTCAACTTTTTAGCAGGTTTAAAATATGGATTTCCCGGTGTCTTCACCAAGTGGACCTGTGTTTGGGATCCAGCAGAAACACAACCATCTTCCGGTTGTCCCTAGTAATCAAGAATTTTACAAGATCTTCCTAAGGGGACACCCTAAAGTTCTTGGGGTGAGTAATGCATAGATTGCAGATTCCTTAAAAACAGAGTAGAAACCATATTAGATATTTGATCTGATCTTTTGTAAGTCAACTGATTTCCCTTCTTGATGTCTGACCATATTCACCTTTGCTTCACTCTCTTGTTACTCCATTCATCAAGAAGGTAAAAGAAATCTCCATTGATTTCAAGTATGAGGAGGATGTGAATCACTTCTTTCTTCCATTCCCATCTGACATCTGGTGCTTGGTGATTTACACATTAGGCAGCCAACGCTATCATGATGGAGCTGGAAGAGGATCTGTCCGTAGGGCTCAATATGAAATTGCAGTCATAACCCCTTCAACCTTTCTGGGAAGGCTGCCCACAAGGTTTAGGAATGTGTCTATGGAAATGTTTGATCATTCTTCCAGAAGCGCATTTGTGAGGTCAGTCAGTGATGTCGGACAAGAAGGCCTGGCTTGCAGTCTCCACTCTAATTCATCCCAAATTGCTTCTATCAGGTTGAGGTCAGGGCTCTGTGCAGGCCAGTCAAGTTCCTCCACCTCAAGCTCACTCTTCCATGTCTTTATGGACCTTGCTTTGTGCATTGTGCGCAGTCATATTGGAACAGGGAGGGGGCCATCCCCAAACTGTTCCCACAAAGTTGGGAGCATGAAACTGTCCAAAATATCCTGTTTGCTGACACCTTAAGAGTTCCCGTCACTGAAACTATGAGGCCAAGTCCAACCCCCTGAAAAATAACCCCACACCATAATCCCCCCTCCACCAAACTTTACACTTGGCACAATGCAGTCAGGCAAGCACTGTTGTCCTAGCAACCGTCACACCCAGACACATCCATCAGATTGCCAGACAGAAAAGCATGATTCATCACTCCAGAGAACATGTCTCCCCTGCTCTAGAGTCCAATGGTGGTGTGTTTTACGCCACGGCATCCGATGGTATGCATTGCACTTGGTTATGTAAGGCTTGGATGCAGCTGCTCAGCCATGGAAACCCATTCCATGAAGCTCCCTACACACTCTTGTGCTAATCTGAAGGCCACACAAAGTTTGGAGGTCTTTACCTTTTGACTCTGCAGACAGTTGGTGACTTCTGCGCACTGTGCGCTTCAGCATGCACTGACCCCGCTCTGTCATTTTATGTGGCCTATCACTTTGTGGCTGAGTTGCTGTTGTTTCCAGTTGCTTCCACTTTGTTATAATACCACTAAGAGTTGACCGTGGAATGTTTAGTAGAAAGGAAATTTCATGGATGGACTTATTGCATAGGTGGCAACCTATCACTGTACCACGCTTGAATTCACTGAGCTCCTGAGAGTGACCCATTCTTTCACAAATGTTTGTAGAAGCAGTCTGAATGTCTAGGTGCTTGATTTTATACACCCGTGGCCATGTAGGTGATTGAAACACCTAAATCCAATGATTTGGAGGGGTGTCCCAATACTTTTGGCAATATAGTAATAATAAAGAAACAGGGCGCACCGACCTAGTGCATTCTCCTTTAAAATCATAAATTTAATGTAAAAAGGTGTTATACTCTCAAAAGTCATAAAGGTGCAAATACATCTCATGAGTACAGCACAAACAGTCTGCAAATCATTAAAGTGTACAGAAACGATAAAACATCTAAAGGCTGATGCGTTTTGAGGGCTTGGCCTCTTCCTCTTAGTCTATCGAGCTAATAGCTGCTCCTGGACTGATATATGGTAAGTTAGAGCCACCAATCAGTCAAGGGGTGTCTCCAGACCACCCCTAAGGGCAGGAATTAACTGTGCATCTGGAAAAACCAAATGGCACCACCCCTTTGTTAATATTTAATATTTATGTCCTGCGGGCCATAACAGTGTGCGACCACAGAGAGACATCACCACACAAAAAAAAAAAAAAAAACCCTCAGAGGCCCCAAGCAAGATCGATATTATATAATATATAAATAAATAAAATGATGAGGGGTGTACTCACTTCTGTGAGATACTGTACATACACAAGTGCAGCTGGAGAGATGCATAAATATAAAAAAGATTAAAAAAATGTGTATAGGAAAAGAATAACCAAAAGAAAACAATAAACCAATACATAAAACAATACATTATATATATATATATATACACAGTTGTGTTCAAAATAATAGCAGTCAGACATCACTAACCTGATCAATCACTATTTTTGGTAGAAATGATATTTCTACATGGCAAATAATTTACTAGCAGGTATAATAGAGTAATAGAAATCCAACAGACCCAACAGTCATGACATGCATGCTGCTGATTCTGTGTAATTGAATCACTAATTGAAAGGGGCATGTTCAAAATAATAGTAGTGTGGAGTTCTATTAGTGAGGTCATTCATTCTTTGAAAAACAGGTGGTAATTATTGCCCTTATTTAAGGAAGGAAGGCAGCAAATGTTGTACATGCTGGTTACAGTGCATTTCTCTCTGAAATTCTGAGGAAAATGGGTCGTTCTAGACACTGTTCAGAAGAACAGCGTACCTTGATTAAAAAGTTGATTGGAGAGGGGAAAACATATAAAGAAGTGCAGAAAATGATAGGCTGCTCAGCTAAAATGATGGCAAATGCTTTAAAATGGCAACCAAAACCTGAAAGACGTGGAAGAAAGCGAAAAACTACCATTCGAATGGATAGAAGAATAGCCAAAATGGCAAGGACTCAGCCAATAATCAGCTCCAGGAAGATCAAAGAAGGTCTAAAGTTACCTGTGAGTACTGTTACAATTAGAAGACGCCTATGTGAAGCCAAGCTATCTGCAAGAAGCCCCCGCAAAGTCCCACTGTTGAAAAAAAGACGTGCTGAAGAGGTTACAATTTGCCAAAGAGCACACTGACTGGCCTAAAGTGAAATGGCGCAACATTTTGTGGACTGATGAAAGTAAGATTGTTCTTTTTGGGTCTAGTGGCCGGAGACAGTTTGTCCGACGACCCCAAACACTGAATTCAAGCCACAGTACACTGTGAAGACAGTGAAGCATGGTTGCGCAAACATCATGATATGGACATGTTTCTCATACTACGGTGTTGGGCCTATTTATCGAATACCAGGGATCATGGATCAGTTTGAATACATCAGAATACTTGAAGAGGTCATGCTGCCTTATGCTGAAGAGGAAATGCCCTTGAAATGGGTGTTCCAACAAGACAACGACCCCAAACACACCAGGAAACGTGCAACATCTTGGTTCCAGACCAACAAGATTGACGTTATGGAGTGGCCAGCCCAATCTCCGGATCTTAATCCAATAGAAAACTTGTGGGGTGACATCAAAAATGCAGTTTCTGAGGCAAAACCAAGAAATAGAGAAGAAGGAATGTAGTCCAATCATCCTGGGCTGGAATACCTGTTCACAGGTGCCAGAAGTTGGTTGACTCCATGCAACACAGATGTACAGCAGTTCTCAGAAACAGTGCTTATACAACTAAATATTAATTAAGTGATTCAAAGGAAAGCAAAATCTTCAAACATTTTTCAGTTTATATAGTGAATGAGTTTGTAAAGAAGAATACAAACACTGCTATTTTTTGAACAGTCTAATATTCACTTTTCTTCAATTTTTTTAGAGGAACAACACAAATTTGATATATTTTTCTTCATGTTTTGATTTGGAATAGAATGTGTAGTGTTCCCAATGCATTTGTGTGTATGGAAATAAAAGCTATTAGAAGGATTTTGAACTTTATTAACTTTTTTCAACACACTGCTATTATTTTGAACACAACTGTATTAATTTCACCTTTTAAGTTGCATTACGGAAATAAATGAACTTTTGCACGATATTCAAATTTTTTGAGTTTCACCTGTAGATTTCTTAATCTAGACCTACTGGCAGCACATGAGATTGCACCTTATAGCCTTGTTTTAGGAATGTCTTACCATTTATTCATCTACTGAGTCCTCATATTCTGCATATATATATATAATCTATCGTTTTATGTATTGGCTTATTGTTTCCTTTTGATTATTCTTTTCCTATATACATTTTTTAAATCTTTTTTTGATATTTATGCATCTCTCCAGATGCGTGTGTGTGTGTATTTTTTTTCTTGTGAATATATGTATGTGTGTAAATATAACTTTTATTCATTACTATTATGTCCAATAATTCTTTTTATTTTTTACATTGCATATGTTTTTAATAATAATCACCATGGTGTATTGTGGGGACATGCAGTGGCTACAGATGTGACATTTCACCTACTCTTTTTTTTTTTTTTTTTTTCCTCTCCACCACAGTGGACTAACCCCGGTGCCCCTTGTCCGGACGGTTGGGGGCCATCCACTCTGTGGGACGCTACCACCACGGGTCCCCATTCAGGTAGGCTGGAGGTTGCGCTCCATGGTGGAGTGCGTGGCCATCTTGCTTACTCCACGATGTGCGTGCGTTCCATGCTGGAGCGCACGGCCATCTTGCACCTCCCACAGAGTGCGTGCGCGCTCCCAGTTTATTGCAGGGGACAGTCTGCTTGCGTTCCTAGTTGGAACACATCACCTTGTCGCACCTCCCCTGCACGCTCTGAATGAGAACCACTCCAGATTGTGGCACAAACGCCCCCCTCATCAGGGGGTTTGGTGGTAGATGCGTCTCCCGTTTTCTCCCCCCCCCAACTCCCCCTCATAAACCTCCTCCCCACTCTGCATATTTGTGACCACCATATAGGTGTCCTCCAACATGGTATCCATATTTGTAATATTAGAAAGAGGGGGATGGTGACAGCACGTGGGGAGCCCACCCCCATATGAGGATTGGTGCTCCAGACAGAAAAAGTTCATGACTTTAATATACTCTGAAAACAATTTCCACATTAGGGTAAGCTTAATCTATTCATTGTTTTATTTATATATTATATAATATCAATCTTGGTTGGGGCCTCTGAGGTTTTTTTTTTGTGTGGTGATGTCTCCCTGTGGTTGCTCGCTGTTATGGCTCGCAGGATATAATATGAAATATTAACAAAGGGGTGGTGCCATTTAGTGTTTCCAGATGCACAGAGTTAATCTCCGCCTATAGGGGCAGTCTGGAGACACCCCTTGACTGATTGGTGGCGATAACTTAACACTGTATATCGCAGCTATTAGCTTGATAGGCTCTGAGAAAGAGACCAAGTCCTCGAAACACGTCAGCCTTTAGATGTTTCATAATTTCTGTACACTTTGATGATTTGCGGACTGTTTGTGCTGTACTCATGGGATGTATTTGCACCTTTATGACTTTTTTGTGAGTATAACACTTTCCTATTTACATTAAAGTTATGATTTTAAAGGATAATGCACTAGGGCGGTGCACCCTCTGTTTATTATTACTGCAGTGCTCCTAGACCTCCCCAGTCTTGTGAGGGCAGCAAAGCAAGTGCACCCCATGAAGGCCAAGTTTTGACTGTAGTCCACTAATGCCTTTCGGCATACTCCCCTTGAAGATTGTTGTTTTCCAACTTTTGGCATATAGTGTAGTTCTGAGATACTCTAAAACCCTTTACCGAGAACACCAAATTATATTAGTCTTAGAAACTGACTCTTGAACAATCACTGGCATATAGAACCACATTAGACCTAGAGCTTAAACTCAAACATCTATTCCCTAGAAAAACACGCACACACACACACACACACACATTATTTTTTATTACTTTATATATCACTGGAAAATGTAGCATTTTTTTGCAGGAAAAAATAAACTATATTAGACCGATGAACTTACACTCACACATCTTATTATTACTTACTTTCAGGCTGTACAAATAACACTGGTGTTCCTGCATTGGTCCCTGGGGGCTGTACTCTTATCCACTTCAGAAGACTTGATTTCTAGAACTGCAATCAGTGGAATTCCATACTGGGCATCAATATTTGTGAGTAAATGTATTCTTCTTCTTTTTGTTTTGGTTTTTTTTTTTTTTTCATTCTTTATTGTTCAAAGAATCCAGCAATTCAATATAGTACAGTAAGGAAAGAACATATACAGCTCCATATGATCAAGTAAGACTGGGCATTATAGAGCACAACTAATAATGCAGCGTATACCCACATAAAAGGCAGATGATGAAGCCCATATTGTTGCTGAGGTTGCACATTACCACAAGGCACATTAACAGATGAACTGTGGTGTTTTGCAGTGCCATTCATTTTGAATAGCCCCATAACACCCAATTTACAGTAATGGACAAACACCCTCATTGTAGCACACCACAATGACTGCACATGCAGGCAGTTGTGGTGCAAAAAGTAGTACACATACATTTTTTTCATACATTGAGGCTCAGTAATTGCTCATTCAAAGTAACTGGATGCCTTACCAGAATGCACATCAATGCAGAAAAAAATGTAAAATTATCATATGCATTAATGTAGG